TACTTGGCCCAAGTCCCAGTCTGCCAACTCTACCCATCCGCCAGGCGAGAGACTCTTATATATCTCTTCGTAGACGCCTTCCCAGTGGGTAAAGGTTCCTTTCATATTTCGCAGGTGGATCAGCTCAAACGTATCGCTGAAATGCCAACCTGGTTCCGACTTAGGATTCAAGGAAGTCAAGTCAATTGTGAGGGATTCTTCTGATAGATTTGACGGACTTGTGGCGGCATCGCTTAGTCCAGTGTCCTGGTGTATTTTTCTTGGAGACTCGATTGGATCGCGGTGGATCATGTTGGTTGCCAAGTCCAGCTCTGCGAGTTTGGCGATTAGATCGTCGACATGGATTTCTCGCCCCCAAACGTCGAGATCATCGAGTTCCCAAGTCACTCCAGATTCGCCTAGTGTGGCTTCAGTGGTTTCAATGTCCCACTCGGTAATGTCTATTCCAACGACTTCTGCACGGGGGTATTGCTGTGCCATGGACACGGCCCAGTGGCCTGGTCCCGTGCCGAGATCGAGGATTCTGCGCGTAGAAGGTAGCAGTTTTGTGGTTGTCAACTTTCCTTTGAGTGCCCGGACAAAGATCTCGTGTTGCAAGGATAAGCGATCCTGCTCCACAAAGTCGTTGTTGGGCTTGTAGACACAGGGCAGATAGTACGACTCATTGGCGTATGTGCGGCCATTTTCATGGACATAGTCGAGGTCGTCCGAGGCAAGTGTGCGAACAGAGCGACTATCGCAACGACTGTCAGCTGTGGTTCATGTGCGATGAGTGGCGATATGATGGAGGAGGATCCGTTGGGCAGCCGGTTAGCCGTCAGCGGGCTCGAGCCCCTGTCGAATGCGGGCAGTTGGCAGCGCAGAGCAAAGGATGCAGCGATACGAGAGGAACATAGGAGAAGCGGCGGCATACATGGACTCAATGGAGGCTGAATCGTCCGAGTCAGCTCTTGGGCGTTTGAGTGGAGGCCCTGCGTGAGGGGCAACCACGTCTTCGGGTGGTGGCGGTCCCTCGTCCATGGCGCCGGAAAGCCGACAGGCTGCAGAGGGGCCGAACGGGTCTCGTTGGGCAAGTCGAGCGGAGGACGATGGTGAGGTTGAGCGAGGGCGCCCGCGACGTCTTTACGTACGCGACGCCAATGGATCCCTTTCCAAAGAGGCTGGTGCAAGAGCTTGACGTTGCGTCTGCTAAGCGATGGTCGCTTGATGTTGGTTGGGGGCGCGCGCATCCAGCCTGGGTATACATATGGGCCTTGCAGAAGGTACTAGACTTGAAGCGTGGATCCATGCCATGCCCGCGACTGGCAACAAGGTCCACGTCCATTGCCCTCTCTTTCCATGCCGACATGCTCTGCTGATCATCGCTGTCTGACCACCTCCATGACAAATCCCCGTCCTCTGAACTCTATGTGCTGTCTAGTATCTAAGTACTACGCTGCCGACAATCAGTCAGCGAGCCAGCGAGCCGACATGTCCACCACACCACACTCACCTTTTGTTCCGAGGACAGAGCACAAGCACCCGAGGACGGCCATTGCGACGTTACATGGCAGTGTGAGCTCCATCATGTCATGGCCCGAGGCGCACATAGCCCCACGGCTGCACATACACGGAAGCATGGTGCCTCAATGCATGGTGCCCAAGAGGTCCAGGACCGCTGCATCAACCCCAGGCTGCTGCTAGCAAGGAGTTTGCACCGGTCCGTCTTCGGCCTCTCTCAGCTGCCCTACTACCCATCCCCCGGGGTCTCGAGGCTAGGGCAACACCTGCATGCACCGGACCAAACCCCCGGAAGAGCACGAGAACCCCTTCATCATACCTACGTACGTATCTACTACTACATGTCTGTATCTCGTCGCAAACGGACCCGCCGCATATGCATTCTATCCAGGGAAGCCTGCTGGCATTCCGCTTTCAGCAGCTCCCTTCTACGGCCACAATCCCACGTCGTATTTCCCACTCCCTATATCTCACGTCGAGAGTTCAAGTTCCCGCGGCCTGACTCGTGGCGGCGCGGGCTTTATCCTGGGAAGACTGCATCGGACGTGGTAATCGTCCACTCTCCATCCCCCAGCCGGGCCAACACAAGCCCGCAACCCCGGGGTGCATGACACGTATGGACGTGGGCGAACTCTTTTGACATGTTTTCTTCCAGATTAGATTAGAGGAGAAAATAAAGGGACCAGGTTGCTCACACAATCACATTACGTGGGACAACAAGAGCCTGACAGCACAACCAGTCCACTGTATTCGTCCCAGCCAAGGCATCATATCATCTACATGGATGCGACACGATCTATTGCCTCTATTTGTTGGCTTTTTTTACCTTCACACAAAGAGTTACCCTTGGATTCAGCTTTCGGCTTTCAATGCATGCAGACGAGACGGCAATCCGCACTTATAAAGCGAATCACTGCTAGTATTGGTTCAACACAGCCTTCAGTCTACCTCCTGGCCCTCAAACTTGGGCAGGCGCTTGGCAACATCTGACCATGTCTCTTCACCCTTTACAATGTTGGAAATGGCCTGGGCAATGTCGTCTAAGCTCGAGCGGACCTGCTCAGTTGTGTCACGGTCTCGAAGGGTGAAAGTGTTGTCCTTGATTGACTGGAAGTCAATTGTGATACCAAGCGGGGTACCAAGCTCATCGTTTCGCTAGACCACTGTCAGAGCTCAATCATTTGTTCACTAGAGAGGCATGACTTACTGCATAGCGCTTGCCAATTGATGCACCAGACGCGTCAACTCGGTTGGAGATACCAAGCTTCCGAAGTTTGTCCTTCAGTGTCTTTACAAAAGGATCAAAGTCTGGGTTTGAGCTGAGCGGCACAATAAGCACCTTTGTCGGTGCAACCGCAGGAGGGAATGAGAGGACAGCACGGGCTTCGTCCTGCTCACGGGTCCAGTAGACGTGTTCACACAGTGCCTGATTCGGTCAGCCAGGCATACCTGCATTCCGCAACGGGATCACTTACATAGAAGATACGGCCAATACCAAATGACGGCTCAATGACGTTTGGTGTGTATTCTCGCATCGTCTCGACCCGGGTGCGCTTCTCGATTGTGATGAGCTCCTTGGGCACCTCGACCTTGCCGTCGGCAACTTCGGGGACATCAATGACAATCTTGCCCTCCTTCTCCAAGTCCAGGGACAGCTTCTCGCGCAGATCCTGCGACAGGGACTCAATGGCGGTTTCTACAGCCTTTCCATCCTTCTTAAACTTGGGACCAAACTTCTTCTTGTCAATGTCGCATTGCCACTCCTCGACCTTGAGCGGCTCCTTTCTTGTCTCACGGACAATTAGAGGCGCACCAGTCTTCTTCATGTGCACAGACAGGTCGTATGCGCTTCGGTCAGCACAGCCAACACACTCGATCCAGCCGTACGATGTGAGCAATTCGGCGTCCCAGCAGTCGGCTGCGTAATGAGCCATCTCGTTGGCCATGTGTTGCCTGAAGCGGATCTTCTTGGGATCGACACCAATCTTGAGGAGGAAGAGCTGGATGCGAGCCAGGAAGTAACCCAGTGTCTCGTTGTCGACCAGGCCAGTCTCAACTGCCTTGCCAATCTTTGTGGTCTCGACCGTGGTCTTGCCAGCAAGCTGGACGTCGCGGTTGAGCAGTTCAAGTTCGACATCCTTGACCTCGTTGAATCGTGGGTGCTTCTTGCCACCCTCTGGGTCGACAAAATGCTCGATTTCGGCCATGAGGAACTCGCGTACACGCAGGAGACCCTGGCGAGGCGAAATCTCGTTACGGAAAGACTTGCCAATGGAGGCAGACGCAAAAGGCATCTGCTGCATGTTGTGGTCTAGCAGCTTCTGGAAGTTTACAAACTGTCCCTGGGCAGTCTCTGGTCGCAGATAAGCGGGCAGATTCGACGAGGGACCGATGGAAGTCTGGAACATGAGGTTGAAGGCGACGGGAGGCAGGAGCTCGCCGTTGTTGGCAGGGTTTCGGATGTCGTACTTCTTCATGAGAAGACCCAGCTCCTCACCGTTGTAGTTGTCAATCTTTGCCAGAACCTCCTCGATCTCCTTGACCATTGAGTCCTCGAGTTTGATGGCTGCAATGTTCTTGACCTTCTTCTTTTTCTTCTTGGGATCCTCCTCCTCGACTTCAACCTTTTGGCCACGCGCCTCCTTATCGCCCTTTAGCCTGGCCTCAAGCACCTCTTCGACCAAGTGGTCGGCGCGGAAGATCTCACCCGTCTTGGGGTCTTTGCACATCCAGTCGGCGAACTTGTCGACGTGACCAGAGGTCTTGAGGACATCGTGTGTGGTGAGAATGGTAGGTTCGACCTTGAGCATGTCCTCCTCGAGCACAAAGTGTTCGCGCCATATGTCGACAATGTTGTCGGTGAGGGCAGAGCCAGGCGGGCCATAGTCGTACAGACCAGCAACGCCGCCGTAGATGTCGAATGAGGGCGCGTAGAAGTATTTGTGCTGTAATTGGCAACATGTGAGTAGGCAGTGTGCAGATAGGGTCGGGGGCAGTAGTAGTGCAAGCCTACCTTCATGAGCTGCTCAAAAGCAGCGCGCTCAAAGGGCTTGCCCTTGTAGGTGGTGGTATCACTCGGCATGGCGGGCGTCTTGCGCTGTGGAATCTTGTACCGGAAGAGGGGTGGAGTGGTCGAGAAGTGCGTGGTGGGATGAGTCGGAGGTGGGGCACAAGGTACCCGTCTAGTTATTGTCTGGAGAGACGGTCGCCATGCAGAGCGGGGGACGCGCAGCAAAGCCTGGAACCGGCGCATATATTATCAGGCTCTCCCCTGCTTCCACGAGGAGAATTGGCTTACTGCGAGGACAGACCGTCTATAGGGCATTGGCTCTTTGGTCGAATTGCCCGCACGTGCAAATCATGATGCGTGGGCTCGGTGGGTGACGCGCCAAGATTGCGGAAAAGACGCTTCGGCCGCCGCCCCACTGAAAAGTTGTCAGGCTCGCCAACTGCAATCGACGCCGACGACCTTCACCACTACTACCACCACCACCTACACAATGACGGCCCCCAAAAATGTCGCGTCCGGCTTCAAGCCCAAGAATAAGATTCGCCGCCAGGCCGCCCATCTGTCCATCAAGAAGGCGCGCGAGTCGGAGAAGCGAGATGCCCGAATGCGCCGCAAGCGCGAGGAAGACAAGAATCCTGAGCTGCGCGAAGAGCGACTAGCAAACAACAAACCCGCCACCATTGACAGCAAGCGCGTATGGGATGAGCCTGTGGGTGACGAGGAGGATGCTCTGGGCTGGGCCATTGACGTGGAGCGGTTAGCCAAACGGAGAAAAGTTGAGCATGAGGATGAAGAGGGCAACGAGGAAGGCACATTGGCCAAGCTGAAGAAGCGGGATGAGGCCATGGATGATAGTGACGAAAACGAAGAAGAAGACTCCAATTCAGACGATGCAGACAGCATGCTCGACGACTCTCAGTCTGACCTCGACTCGGACGATTCTGACCTCGACTCAGATGCCGCCTCCTCCAAGCCCTCCAAGTCCTCCAAGCGCGCACCCAGCCCCACCGCAACCTCCACCACTACCAACTTTGATCTATCGCCCGAATTCCTCAAGCAAAAGTTCCCTTCTATATTCAATCCCAGCGACGAGGAACCAAAGATTCTCGTTACAACCAGCATCAACTCATCTCTGCACAAGGAAGCCGACGTTCTCACCTCCATCTTCCCCAATAGCACATACATCCGCCGTACAAAGCATGCACACGCACACAAATACAGTGTCCGCGAGATCGCCGGCTTCGCAGCTGCAAGAGGTTACACCGCGCTCGTCATTCTCATGCAAGCCCAGCACGAAAAGAAACCCGACGGCCTCGACATTGTCAACCTCCCCAACGGCCCCCACTTTCACTTCAGCGTCTCCAACTGGGTCGACGGCAAGAAACTGCCCCGTCACGCAAATGACACAGGCCACTATCCAGAGCTCATTCTCAATCACTTCAAGACTCCGCTCGGTGTCCTTACCGCCCAGCTTTTCAAGAATCTCTTCCCTCCATTCCCTGAACTTGAGGGCCGTCAAGTTCTTACTCTTCATAATCAGCGTGATTACATCTTTGTGCGCCGCCACCGCTATGTCTTCCGTGATAAGCGTGAGACAGAAAAGCCTGTTTTGGGCACGGATGGAAAACCAATTCCCGGTGCTGAGGATGTCAAAGTGGGCATGCAAGAAATTGGGTATGTCATAGTTATTTCTTCTTCTGTAGAAAACTTGCTAATGTTGCACTACCAGTCCCCGAATGACGCTTAAGCTCCGTAGAATAGACCGCGGCATCCAGTTCAAGAGTGGCCAGGAGTGGCAATGGAAAGGCCGTATGGACAAGCAAAGGACGAGGTTCAACATGTAGAAGGGCATCTACATTTTTCCCTTCCAGCACTGTTGATCCTATACGACTCTTTGCTTGCATATCGGCATCAACAATGTTATACCTTTATTCTATTTTTTTTAGCAGCATCCATGTGTCGACATTGCCATTATTAGCTTTGGTTTGGTACGACTAGAGCGCGACTTCGTCTACCTAATAGAACATAGCATTTCCGAGAAGCGCGCGATGACCGAGCTATGTGGATCACATAGCTGGGTATTTGAATACAGGCATCCTCTTATCTCTAACATTGACCGATTGACTTTCGAGTTATGTAACGCAGTCCAAGTCAGGGTCACGAATATCCGAGTGCAACAGGGCGCTTGGGAGGTAGACACAAAATAATGAACAATATTGCCCCAGTACCTGCATTCTAGCCTTGCGGCTCAATCAAAAGCATCCAAGTTAGTGAAGCCTTTCACTAACTCATCACTAGACGAGTGAGACTTTGCATATGCAAATAGTGGCTGATTTTCTGATAGCTCATGGTTTACTTTACGGGGATGCCTGCTTTCATCTACCCACCCGTATAGCGTATCCAGCCATCCTCTCACACAGGAATGTCCCGAAAGACAATACACCTATGGGGGTCCGTAAGATCCGCCCTTCTCCGCAGTATCATCGACTTGCGACTACCTACAGGGACGAACCAGCAACTGTTTAACTTCTCTCGATCCGCTCACTCAATCCTACTATGCTTGCGCCTCGTGCAGTACGCGATTGCACTTACTTTATGTTTCGACTTCCGGTGCGGACAGTCCAGCAAACTATCTCAAACACTTTGTTTTTCCCTTGGAAAGCAAAGCAGCGGCTTCTCGAATAGACTTCTGGTCTGATTTTGGTACAGCGTTTTCATAGAATGTATGGGGGGTTATAGAAAAGCAGGGTCGCTGGGGGGCGTTGGCGGCGAAATTCGGGATTGCGGCGAGGGGGTTAGAGGAGATGGTTAGGGAGTATAACGATGCGATTGAGAGGGAGAGGTAAGGATTCGATGTGTAAGACGGAGGAGTGCCGAAGTCGAATTTTGACACCGCTGTTTCATGGTTTGATATTTCGCCGCAAAGTGAGGGGGCGCAGGTTTTCAGGGGGTTGACGTTAGATGGCTTGTGTATTGATGGTAGGACAGGGCTGATTTTGGCTGGTGAGAAGAAGGTTGATGGACTTTATGCTGCGGGTAGGACGGCTGTAGGAATTTGTTCGAATTCGTATGTTAGTGAGTTGTCCCTAGCTGATTGTGTATTTTCTGGGAAACGAGCTGGGGAGCATGCCGCAGATAAGAGAGAGATGTGAGCAGCGGACATTATTATCGTCGTTATCTTTGTTTTCCCAGAGTGGAAATAGAGATGCGATTGAAAAGGAAGCAGAGAACACCAAGCTTATCATAAAAGTAGTGTATTTATCTCTATTATTAGTACAATGCTGTTAAGACGGGGGAATGTACGGGAGAAAGGGGGATTGGGATTGGTATGGGGCCTCATGGGATTGTCAACTGTTTAAAACGTATCATATTGTGTATCCACTTTTCCAATGAGTGCGTATTAGACAACGACATATTATGTACGTTCACGTGCAGGCAGAGACACACCTAACATGCTTGAATTCGACTCCTATATATCAATTCCTCACTTTCTTGTTTAAGCAAAAAGGAAACACTCAGAAATGGAAATAGGTACTCTCATTGTTGTGCCAGATATGAAAAACAACAGCCCCACAGTGAAAAAGACAAAACTAGAAACTCCGAATGTACAAGTACACAGTAACACTACTACTCCGGGTATCTATCGTACATGCCCCAGCCAAAGGTCATGAATAGACCTTGAAGACCCACCCCTTTTTTATACCAACCACCCACTTTGACAAAGGGAAAGAAAGATATAATAACACTGGGTACCCCAGAGGCTGACTCGTCATAGTATCGTGGATGATAGGCATGTCGTCTAGGCAAATTATTGCCAATCTAAGGGCTGAGAAGGAGGCCACTAACCATCATAGCCATAGCCATAGCAGTAGCCAAGTCCGGGGCCAGGGCCATACTCAGGTCCATAACCAAGGCCATCCCAACAGTCATATACATGACTATATTCGTGACTATAGCCGTAACCACAACCGTGACGGTGACGGCGACTGCCAGACCCCCTGCCTCTGTCGCCTTGGCGACCATTCTATTTGTTGCCATATCCGCTGTAAGCTCCAGGAGTCATCATGCCAGTTGGTCCTGGTGTATTGGATGCAAGACCTGCGGGGTGGTTGGTAGGTGTACTAGGTCCATCGACACCATGTCGTGCGTTTCCAGGGTAGAACGTATTGTTGACGCCTTGCTGGAAGCCAGACAAGCCCTGTGATGCGCCCTGCGCGGCGAGTACAGCAGCTTGAGCAGCTGCGCTGGCTGGGGCTCCAACGCCGGTAAGGCCCCACATGTGGCCGCTCATTTCGTCGGGAACGGATCCATCAAAAATCTTCTTCCTCATCTCCCAGAATACAACTCCTGTCAACCAAGCATCTGAACCAGCTGTATGTGAGTTACCGATGCGCTGACAGCCGAGCTCATCAGCAAGATCTTGGAGACCAGACTTTGTGCCCAAGTTGTTGAGTATGTTGGTCGCTGTGGCGCCAATGACACCGCGCCTAACCAGGTTGTTTGCATGTCGCCAGAGATACTTGACATCAAGAAGTTTGGGGAAGAATACGTTAACAAGCTTGCGATACGTGTCCTCATCCTCCGGTAGCGGCTTAGACGTAAGCATCTTGAGCATATATGCAAAATCATAACCCGAGTGAAATGATATCCAGTTGACGTCCTCTGACAGGGTCATTCCAGATGTTGTGAGTAACGAGCCAAACTCTTGTGGGTCAATGCCCTGATCGCGGTGCTTTTCGAAATCAGCTCCCGACTTCTTCAGCATCTGGATCGACTCTTCGTTGTACATGTCGTCTTCGAGGGAGAACTGGAAGTTAAAGGACCATGTACAAGGGCAAGGGATAATGTTATTTGAATATCTTTGAAAAGACTTGGGCTTGTAGGTCAGAGTATTTGTGTCGAGATGTGTTGGGGGAACGTCGCCTTGAACGTTGAAGAGGGTGACGCCCAGTTGGATGATCTTGAGCAGGTCGACATTGCAGCGAACGGTTTGATAGTGGTATGATGCTTTCGAGTTGAAGTCTCCGATAGGTCGCGCAACAACACCGGGGAACTCGGTGTCCTATTTGTAGAGTGAGCATTGTGTGTGCAGGATTAGGAGAAAGGGGTAGAATGGAAACTACCCCAAGAAACGAAGCCATGGAACCACCACTGGTACAAGACTTAGGAAGTATTAGAAGCGACTCTGGTAGCACAGCAGTCGCAAGGTGTTGCAATGAAATAGCATACTGACCATGCTAATGTATGGATACTGGTCAATGAGGGTGCGTAGCATATCCATTTCCTGATGCAGGTTTGACCGCCAGACCTGGCGTATGCGCTGGCCCGCAATGCCCTTGGTACCATCGTGTCCACGGGCTGCATTTTCCTGTATTTGAGCACCATGGGCAAACCGCATGCGCGCCTCGTGTCCGTCGAGTCCAGTGCCTCCACCTGCCCCGCCAATGGCTGCTGCTGCCCCCAGACCCGCGCCTCCCAAACCGCCACCCAGGCCAGCATTCGACTGAAACCCGCCCTGGTGCTGGCCGAAGAGGTTCAGGCTGGTGGCCTGGTTGCCCGCACCAAAGTGCTGCATGTTCTGTTGCTGCTGCTGTTGCTGTTGTTGCTGATGTTGGTGCAGTGGCTGTTGTTGCTGGGGCATTGGACCGGAGAGATGTGCGAATGGGTTGGAGAGATTATGGCCGGGAAACCGGCCCCCGTGAGGCGGCATGGTGGGCAAAGTGTAGCTGTTGCTGCGACGGGCGCGAGCGTACAAGTGGAGGCGTAGTGAAACGGCGAGTGGGCGACACTGGGGTTAATGACGCGAACGAGCGGTGGTCGGGGGGTCTTTTCCAGACTCTTAGAGAGATTTAAAGCAATTAAGGCGTGTGCAGGGTGTGCAAGATGCGTGTGGTAGCGATAGTGCGTGGTGAGAGTGAATGAATGGTGTGGGGAGGATGTCCGTAACCCATAGGCGGCGGCCGTGCGCCATGATGGCCGCCAAGACTGAGCCAGATGCGACCACCAACGGCTTCGCGGACGTGACGCCAACAGCCTCCGCGACCGCGACCGCCTTTTCCCTTGTCGACCATCTCTCGCGGCCCATTCAGTACGTTAACTTGCTTCGCGCGGCCTCAATTGGTGTATCAGAATCCAGCAATTCCTGACTGCAGCAGCATCTTCACAATGGCACCACGCCCCTCCATCACCGGCTTTGACCCTAAGAAGTTCGCCGCCGCCGCTGCTAACGGCACAAAGGGCGACCCCTGGGCGCGATAGTACGTCTTGAATGCCCACCTTATATATGTGCTGCACCGTATACTCATGCCCCAGCTAGTGAGCAATGGCGATACACCGGTCCCTTCACCCGCTTCAACCGTTTTAAGGGCTCCTTCCCCGGCCTCGGCATAGCGACTGTTGCCTTTGCCGGATATGTTGTTGCTGAGCAGCTCTTCTTCCAGGACAAGGGACATCACGATGACCACGCATAAGACTTGCACATTCAGGCGTACCGGTTGCTTCGGGTTCCGTTGCTGTGGGATTGTATATACCTCTACCACACAGAACGATCAATCAAAATGAGATTTCAGAGTGTTTGGCAACCAATATGGAAACGGGTGTGAAGATTATTCCGCATAGGTGCAAGAGTCGAACGGATTAGTGAATCGCACATGCCGGTCAAACAGCGAGATTGACATGGAGTGTCTATGGTCGTACGTAAGAGAAGAAATACTGCGGAAGAGTCTGCTTTCATCGCATCTCTGAGTGCAACGTCTTCTTTTCACAACTCACATTTTTGACCCAACACTTTATCGTCTACCATCATGATCACCAGCCCCATGCTCCATCTTTACCCACTCATAGAATCGACCTTATTTCTCCAAAATAGCTCACAGAACTTGTCCATTTTCTTTCATAGCGGTGAAGAATGGTCTTCTCTGCCAAATCTACTTACAATCTCTTTTTAATACGGCGCAGCACATCTTGTACATAGAGATTCTTATTGTCTAACCACTATGCGTCTACATTGATACAGAACAGTCCATGCGCCCTCGAATTTTCAACCCATTGAAAACGCGACGTAATGTTACTGTGAGGGTAGCCTAGACAAGTGTGTATATCCTTCTCTCTCTCATCTCCATCAAAGATCACGAACTAGGAACTCTCTTTTTTCTCTGTTTTAGAGAAAATTATATCTTTCACTTCTGACACTGCAACAGGAAGTTTTAGGTTTTGGTGCCGAACAGATTTTCTTGGAAGTCTTTCCTTGCCTGATAACTGCACCTTTATGGGATCGTGTATACTGAATTTAGCATCAAAAGCAACCTCTTTACAACTTCCGAGACGCAGAAAGAAGTGTCCAAGTTTTAGGATCGAAGGGTTTTTATTCATTCTTCCTTGATTGAAAACTGCATCAACACCGTATCTAGCCATTTCAGATAGCTCGAATCAATTGATATATGAGTTATCATGAAAATTAATCCTCTTCGCAGCTTAACACATCACATTACTTTACTTTCTCTATTTCCAGATTGTTCTCTGGAGGAATTCAAGTCAGGGATCTTTGCCAATTTTCTGCACAGCAATATCACATTATATTCAACTGCTCTATCCGTCACTTTGCAGTGGGCTACCATCACTATGCTCTTTGCAAAACTCATCTCGTGTATTGTGCAACCTTACCTACACGCTCCTAGAAAAGCACAACTTATGGCTCTCCTCTCCAGAAACCCGTCCCGATACGTCACCTTCCCGTTTGGTCCTTATCGTCTGGACAAGAAAAAACGGTGTACTACAAGTCACAACTGCAAACACGAGGTAAGCGAAGCGCTCTGTGTATCCTGGCATACCATGTATCTGTAACACCAACTCTACGTATACATAGTTACACCTGTACCTTGGATGTGCGATGGTAAAAGAATTCATGTAGCACAAGCGCGGATACACGCCAGGAAATATTTTGTACGACAACATCTATAGTTACAACTACAGTTACACGGCACTCTGTGCCGAGTCCATCTCACGCATATAAGGCCATTGCTGACTCAAAGTAAGACTACAAACATGAGATATCTGTACGTATCCAATCGGTAAATCTAGGTTAGAAGAAAATTTCGAAAAGGGGTAAACCAAGATTTTGACCTCGTCATCTTATGATTGAAGGAAAAACAGGCTGACTGCATTACCTTTTACGCTGCTGACCAGACTACCTAGGTCATGCAAGATCACTGACTGCATCACGACCAAACATCGCTATCAGACAATCAGATAGACAACATGGGTGCTTAGTGCGTACTGTGCACAGTCATTCAATATCACATGGTTCTCCTATCGTAACCCAAAACATCACCCCACTAGTATTACCCACCTACACATCCACCTCCACCTCCACCTCCCCTACCCCTACAATTACCAAAAATTTCACTCCCCCTTCCCCGATCAACCTCGAGATCGGGACTCCACCTCGAAACACTGCTCCCCACCCATCCACATACCTACACCCACATACAACCCCCACTTCATTCTACCAGAGACGTCCGGCCTCGCCAAAAAACACATTTCCCCTTTTGTTCTTCCCCATTCTCCATTCTCGCTCTCGCATTCCCCTACACCTAGCATACGCATACACGTGTCCATACCAATCACCATAAACCATCGCACATCCCAGTAATACCACAACTTAGTCTCCTCCCGTAGTGTTCAAAAACAAAGCAACATGTACACAAAAAAAAGGAATAACCCCCCCCCCCCCTTGCATATTTCACGAATACTCCACTTCGCCGAAGTACCTTAGTCCAACTTATTCTGCAAATCGCGCGAAAATGTCACTGCTGCAACTCTACTAGTCGGGAACCCCCCCCAAAAATGGCAGCCAAAATGTCTGCCAGCGATGCTGCATTTTTAGCCTAGGATGACGCGTGCGATGCGACAGGGGGAACGACAAAAAATGAAGCGAGCAACGCAAGGAATACGAGGTGCTTGAGCGTGATATTGAGGGGATCAACCTCTTCCCCCGTCATACTACGCATTCGTCCAAAACAATCCCCAATCACAATCCCCAATAACGTATTTAAGCGTACATATTTTCCTGCATTGGGCTGTATCCCGCGAAAAGGGAAAAAAAGATCATCATCGAATTACTCCCCCTACATACCCCATTAAAGTACCTTACACAACTACTCGACGAACATGGGGTAATTTCGATGCTGTCTCCCTCGGAGAAGAGGAGGAGGAGGGGGCGGGGGATGATGGAAGGTGAAGAAAAAGATCCGGACCCCGTGTATTATCATATGAAAAAAAAGGAATTGCTTACGGCATTTACGAGTGTGTGTGTGCCGAGTCTTTTCTTTTTGTCCGAAGCAAAAAGATAATCATTCCCCCCCACGTTCTATCCCACGGTGAATTCGTATACACGCTAGATACAAGGAAAAAGCAGCGCAGAGAAACAGCAGAGTGGTGATAACCTGAGGCTTTTTGGCACCAAACTACCGGGAAGAAAAAAAACAACAACAGCAACCACGCAGATCCCGCCGCGGACGTTGATTAATTTTCCTTTTTTTTCAACTACCTCGCTCGCTTTTTTTTCTTCGTTGGACCCCTCTACTACCTGGGTCTCGAGGCATTGAATACTTACCTACACCCCGGCGCGCGCCTCTAATTCCGCATCAACCACCCCCAACCATATAACGTATTTAGCACCAAAAACCATCTAACAATTACTCCGCTGACGCAACCTCAAGCTTGGCACAGACGACGCCCTCTCACACTATCTATAATATCCTGCAGCAGCCCGGGGTGTATACATAACGGGGGTAAATGTGATTGGTACATAGCCGGTCCACCATGCCACACCCCGAGCGCGCTCACGAGAGGCATTGGATAATCTGACCATGATCCTGGTGCTTGGGAAAGGGTTAAAAAAAAATGAGGGCTGTCGCTTGCTCACTTTCTCGCCCACAGTGTCATCATCAATGAATCAATCTTCGGTAATAACCGCAACGCGCCCGTGTATGCATGCAGTATGCGCACATAGTTGGTGTGGCGCACGGCTACTTCCTTGCAAATAGAGAGGGAAGAAGGAAGGGGAGATGAGGGAAGAAAAAAAGGGGCGGCTAAACTGCTTTTGGGGTGTGTATACTTGAAGAGCGTAGCGTATGGGGGGGTCCACGGATTAATACCGACGCGGCCTTATGGATGTTGCTACGGGGCTAATTAATGCCTTGTATGGAGGCTAAAAGAAAAGAAGGTAAGCGCGTGATGGATTGAGCGGCGACTGTTCTTGTTCTGCGTGGGGTCGTCGTAAGTAGAAAAAGAGAGACGAAGAGGAGAAAAAATTTGGCAATGAGGAGGGTCTCTCAGGCGGACACCTGCCCGTTTGAAGGGAGGAGCCGAGAAGGATTTTTGGCATCACGGGGCACTACCCACCAATTCGCATCTCAACGCCGCGCCGCGCTCCTTCGATCTCGCGACAGTTGTTAGGCGTGCAGTTCATGCTGGATGCGGCACGGCTCATAGCTGTTGGTGGTGCGGCGTACATGTGTGTGTGTAGCTCTGGATCGCCGGTCTAAAAGGATCGCAACCCCTGCCTTTACGGACCGTGTGTGGCTTCCTACCCCCATGTGTAGCCCAATCTCTTTGAGGAGCGCTGAGCTGAGACGGGGCGTTGAACGACAAGGCGGGAGAGATTAAGGTTGGTCCGTCTTACTCTTCAGCCTAAGCAGCGAGCAATTGCGGCTCTGATAGGTTGAGTGCCTACATATCTTACATACATATATCTTTATTGAACTGTGCCAACGCCCCATAGAGCTGGGGTTTGTGGGGACGCACTGACCGCTACCTCTTGTCGTCTGCGCTCGGCCCCGTCATCATTTGGCGGGAGTTGATTGCATGCGCCGGCAGAGAAAACAAGCACTTTCAATGTGCCCTTGAATGTGATGTTCTGATACAAACGGGACAGTCGGCGGCAATCGTGAAATCGGTTCACTGCTGTGAGATGAGCTACTAATCGCGTATAGTGTACATACTGCACGTGCTTTGTAATCGTTGCCCAAGATGCATCAATGGAAAACTCCGTCATACGACATACCGCCGGATGAAGGGTTATCCATGTTGCGAGAAGTCGAGTACCCTGCCCAACATCTCACAGCAGCGTTGGACTGCAGCCTGAAAGCTAAAAACAAAACGTTGAGTTAAGCTTCGCGGCGCAGTTTGTAGTCAGAGTTTCGTGCCTGACATGTTCACAGTCGGTAGTTATAGGTACAGTAAGTAGAATTCACATTTCGCACTTGCGTGTCAGAAGTGCTAGCGCGAGGTCTTGTTCGGTTTGAGTTTACTTCGGCATGCTAATCCGGCTATCTCGACCCTGAATCCAAGCAGTTCAAGGTTCGCGTGTAGCTCGTTGGTCTATTGTAAGCGAAACTTTCTTGCAACGACGTTTAACGACAAACCATAACGGTCTCCGATACATAGCTTACTCATTACTCTTTACCTGAAGCGGGAGGAAACGTTCTGATTCAATAAGAAGAAGATTTGCTTTCGATAAAACTCGTCGTGCCCATAGCAAATTGGGTTCCAGATGCGATATCCGCGGATGCCAAACATAGTGGGCGGGTCCTGCTCGAAACACCAGGTGGATTAGTATGTTTGTTTCTTTTCGTTGGGGAAAAGGAACGAAGGTTACAAGCGAACTTGAGTGCGAGCATCTCAATTCGGCAACCGACCTCGTACCTGACCAGCAGAAGACAAAGCTAATAGGCTCTGCTTGGTCATTGCAAAAGCATAGGCTTTTGTCGATTCGATAATTGACTACCAATGAAAATGCAGAACCACTGCTTGGACATTGTTCAACCTCGGGCGGTGCTGTTTCACGAAACACACGAGTAAACCCGGTCAGACGGACAGTATAGAGATGCTTGCACCGTGAAACCAGCACTCTCGTTGTCGCACCAAACCTCTGGGGTGCCTTGTATCGTAGCATGATTGCGTGGATGTCTTAGATCGGATGTGCGGGCTAGTCTTTGCCGGGCTCGTGTCGGCTTACCTATGGTAAAACATGTTTGAAAGGCACGGAACAGGCTCTTTGCTATTACTAGCACGAACACAGTGCGCTATTCGGTTGCGGTTGCACAATGCTAGGATCGGCGGCCTGAGTCCGGGTGGGGGTATGGGAGTTAGGGCTCACCTTTTGCAGTTTGACAAGAAGGGCTAGCGCAGAATGCAGGTACAGATACAGGGTTCCAGCATTTGGGGGCCACGGTTGAGAAAAGAGGGATCAGCAAAGCGCAGAGAAAGCAAGCCGGGAGAAGTTTGCGCTTGTTGGACCTGCCCAGCAGCATGGCCCTGCAGCTCACGGCATTCGTTTGGTTGCTCAGCGTCTTCCGATAGGCATACGCAGAAATATACTATATTGTCGGCAAGTCAAGTGGAGATGAGCGGGTGCTACTGGGGCACAACGAAACACATTGTCAGAGACGGACGGTTGTTGGGTGTGTTTACGGCGGGTGGGCGTACTAGCACGTGCGCACAGTTGGCACGGCAGGCGATACCTCCGGTGAAGGTAGTCTCGGGAAGTACAGACTGCAGACGGCACAGTAGAGAGGTTCTCGATACTAGGCAGTTTAGGGCTGGCGCAAGCGCCATATAACCAACGTCAAGATGTCCGAAATAAACCTCCCGTAGATGGATGGATGGATGGGTGGGTGGAAGGATGGAGGCGCAGGAGGCGTGCGTAAGACGTGGATCCCGCTAAGTTGAAGTTGCGCAAAGGTGGAGGCATGGCGCAGACGCCGGCGATGTGGTGGGGGAGTACAACAACTGCAGGTCCCAAGTCGCAGGGGAGGAGGGAGGAGAACTCTTACGCAACGACGGCCGTAAGACTCTGGGTCTGTGCCTGCCTTGTGGGTCCAGTCCAGGAGCTGGGGGGAGGGGGAAGAGGGAGAGGCGGACGGGCGTGGTGATAAGCGCATCCGCAGGCCAGCACACGCAGTCGAGAGGTTGCGTACTGTGCTGGGTGTACTTACAAGGGAAGTAGGTACCAAGGAAGTAAAGTGCTGTCTACGCCAAGCCCGTTTGCGCCAATCAGGGATTGCCCTTGCACGTGGGCAGCGTGCCGGCAGTTGGCAAGGGCACGTGATGGAACCTTCACTGCCCATGTGCAGGAACAACAGGCCAGCGCTGGGCATGCTTGGTGTGCGGCGAATTCCTTGCAGCGACGTAATGTATGTAAATAACTGTGTCCATGACATGCTGTTGCCCAGAGGAAGAAAGTATCGCTGATGCCCATGTGCAAGCACGGCGCCTGGGGGCACCATGGCGCGGCGCTATGGAGAATTTGTCGGTGTGCTGGTTGCGCGCACATGCAGCTGAGATTGCTGGCCGAGGGTGCGACGGTGCTATGTAGTGTCTTGTGCACGCCAGAACGACTCGTTCTCCCCACGCCCACGCTCGCATTCGCAGCAGAGGCACATGACCAGGGGCTTGTTGTGTCCACCACGCTGGGCAACTATGTATGTACGTGTATGTACGTTTGTGTGCCATGTACAGTAGACGACTACGTACATAGTTACGCAGATAACAGTTGTTCCAGGGTACGGTACAGCAGCCCAGGCGCGGATGACGGCCCAGACTGTCGCAGCCCTTTTTCCGACAACGACGACGGCGATGACGACTCGGACGAGGTGCTGCCATGCCCTGTCGCCGTTGATGAGACGTGTAAAGGCCTTGGGTGAGGCGGGGTATTCGAGGGTCGTATCGTCTGGTGTCGTGTCGTGTCAAGTCGTCGACGGTCACGGCATTCCGGCAGGGCTCTCTTCGGCTGTTTCACCTTGGTCCCAGGCGTAGGAAGATCTGCAGACAGGACCGTGATGACTTGTTGGCCTATGCCCGCGCGGCCAGTGATAGCCTGTCTTGCCTGATCCGATGCCTGTCACGATCCCCTTTAAACAGATCTCTTGACCTGATCACCGGCACCGCCATGGTGACATGCTGTGTCGTCTTGAGTGCACATACACGCTCTCGCATCCCAGGCGAGGCCGCCAACCGACGTTTTTGGTGCAATACTCCTGCCGTTTGCTCGTCGACTATTATGTATCAACACACATGTACGTAGTTAGTAGATACATTCAAAAGTGCATACTAGGCCGACTCCGAGCACAATGCGCCGTGTCCGCCTAAAAAAAAAAGCGAGGCCGGCAAGTGTTCGGCACTAAGAGCACAAATCCCCTCCCCGCCAGCGTATCGTACAGGGCAATTTACGCGTTGGGCCTAGCTTAGTCATCTCCACACACACCATCCTCACTTATCGCGACACCCACCACAACAACAACATCAACAAAAACAACGCCAACGTCGTCATAACGCGACCCGCCTCGCCCGCCATGTATGTCAGCAGCAACCTCAGCAAGCTGGTCCAGCCTCTCGCCCGAGTCGCACCGTGCCCTCGTCTTCTGGTCGCGGTAGCAGGCATGGTCGGATCCTCCTCGGTTGCACAACAGCATGCGTCCGGCTCGTAAGCAAATTGGACCTCACTTCCTTTCTGGCACACCGGGCCTAGCGCTGGCCAGAGCAGCAACGCAGCAGATTTAACCGTTTATTTCGCTGCCACGCCCAATCAGCTTCGCCCTCCCGGGCCCCTGCGACGTTATATTGCTTAGGCCGACCTGTCGGGCCGCTTTCTTGTGTGTGCTGAGGCCCAGTAGGCCAGCATGCGACGCCGGGCCTCCCCCGTCAACGATGCCCCTGTTTCCGCTCTCCCCAGCCACTAACACACGCCCAGACGTTGTCGCTCAGCGGCAGATACCCATGTCCCTGCACTCCTTGGATGCCACTAACATGGTCGATGCGCACTGTGCACCTTTCATCCTTCTCCACATGCTCTCCGCCGCTCGACCAAGCTGCCATGTACCTACATAGTGAGATCATCCCTACTCGCTCTCCAACCTCGCCGGCCTCAAATCCTCCACCTGCTCCCGTGGCACAAGATGGAACACTCCAGATAATGTCCCCCGCTGCCCATCTCCATCTCCACCACCACCATCACACACCACGTTCCTTACCCGCTTCACTACACCTAAACGTCTTGGATCCCATACCACCGTCTGTCTCACGTGGGTCTGTGCCTTCCGCCAGCTCTTGCAACACCCACAGTCCCCGGCCACATCCTCGTCAGTTACCACACAGAGGCAGAGCCCTTTCATCAGCCTTCTTCCCGAGCCACAGTGGTCCGTGAACGCACTTTTGCATTGCCGTCTCCATCCTTAGCAAACGAGCCCACTCTTCCTTGCTAGGTCTGCATATATTACTTTGGCTCTTATTGCATCTCGACTTCTGCTCTATCCTCGTTTGCCCCGCTAGTATTCCAAGCCTTGGCCCAGGTTAGTCCTTTCGCATCACCTAAGCCTTTATCCCCTCGTCCACTTCTAACGCCTCGTGCTCCAGTGGTCCCATAATACCTGCGCATAGACCACTGACGCGTCTTGTAGCCGTATTAACCACCTGCTCAATCCTTGGTCATCTGCGATAGGCCACGCTCTTGCATCTTTCCTGTAACCTCAATGGTTGTGGGATTAAACATCTCTTGTCGGCCACCAGTCGAGACGCGCACAGTCCAACTTGCATTGACGACCTTGCCTGGAATCTTTCTGCGCTACCACTGAACTTGCAAGACATGTTTTCGTTCCATAAGAGCGATGTCTCACGGTCTCGACAGTCATCAATCGACTCACAGGCAACTGGAACATACCCCTCTACCTTTGCTCCGGACTCTTGGCAAGACCACCGTCCCACACCTTCCTCCCATGGTGGTGCCCACTCACCCGAACAACTACACAGATTCAATCCCGCCAGGCGAAGCTCCGTCTTCAACCTGAGATCGAGGAGCAACACTGCAACCTCCCTCACACCCTCGCTACTGTCCCAACACGACATGGCTGACCATGATGCCTCGTGGCATGACTCACAATCAGGACATTCCAAGGCCCACCCTTCTACTGGATCGAGAAGATCATTGTTTCGAGGCAAGAAAGGAAAAAGACTAAGCGAAACTGGAATTGTTGGTGGTGATGATTATGAGGGAGATGCCAGTGAAAGGCGAACGTCACTTCTACGAAAAGCCAGACGAAGCGGCAATCAACCCGAAGACAGTGGTAAGTGATGTGCTATCGTCGCGTCGGCTCTTCAACCTCTTACCTTTATTGCAGGAAGCCTGATCAGCCGCATCTCCAGTCCGTTTGACTTTCAACATCTCTCACATACCGACCGACACCAGTTCGCCGCTCTTGAGCATACTGCCAATGAAAAACTAGGTCCTGGATCTTTTCCAGGACGAACCTCGCAACCCTATCAGCAAAGCTCTACGCCAACCAACGATTCCTACTTCAGCAACTTCTCTTCGGAAAACCTCCATGCAGCCGAAAACAGATCATCAGTGACATTGAGCGTCGGCTCATCGCCTGGTAGCCCTCAAGCATCCTTTGCTGCTGACAATGCTCCCCAGTTCTCAAACTCGCGACGGCCACTCCGACTAGCCAGGTCGATAGAAAGCTTCTCCCAGCCTGGCGTCAGCCCCCGCAAATACAGTCTCACGACGCCGCCTGTGCCAACAACCCGCATCCCCCTAGACCCCGCCTCTGAAGACAAGATGTCCGCTGCGCGCAGACTGTCTCGACACAAGCGAGAGTCTGGTATCTGGGACTCTTTCTCACTGTCTGCTGGAACCACTCCAGATCCTCTTCCAGAGATTGAGGAAGACACATCCTATTTTGGCCATGCTTTGACAACACCCGACGATTCTGCCATCCATGCGGCCACGCCCCCATTTAGCCCTAGTCTTGCCGACGTTGCTGAGGAACCAGAGCGCTTTGTTAGCCCAAGACCTGCACCGCAACCACCTCTGAGAACACCAAGCTCGCCAAAATCGTCGTATTTCGGATCATTCTCCTTCCAGAACCAACAGTCGCCCCCAAGCAACAGGACGAACCCTCGAGCCCAATTCGATGTCTCGCCGAGAGCAGAGCCATCTCATTCGCGATCCTCATCACAGCAGTCTGACACATTGGGCTCTTCTAACTTCGCCCGCAGAAGGTCCGTTCGAAGGCCTTCTCACCGCCGTCAATCCAACACGTGGCGCGCAATTGAGGAGTCATGGGAAGAAGACGTCGACTACATCTATGACAATGCACTGGAAGCTGAATGCGATTTGGAGTGGGATCGTGCATCTGACCATGGCGCCGACGACGCACAAGTCCCAGCTATTGCATACGCACACAACCACCGCGAATCTCGAGTAATTCCTGTCGATCGCGAGAACCGTCTGCCCGTCAATTTCCGCTCTTCTCTGCTCGTCCCTAGCACAAACAGTATACCGGAACTTGATCCTACTTCTGCGATATCTACCTCCACACTCAGCACGGGACTACCTACCACGCCATCTGATCTCTATAGCGCCAATCACTACGGCCACGAGACGGGTTTCATCCTCAGTCCATCTCTGTTGGTGCCCCAGGAGTATAAGGATACCCGGGATGTTACCTATGAGGATCTCCTGGACGAGTATGCTGGATCAGACCGTCACTTTCCAATGCTTGACAATGGCCGGAGCACCACCAGTTCCGCGCGCAGCAGCCACGTCCGGCTCAGTAGGCGAAGTTCGTATGATAGCAGCTTGATGTCTTCCATTCAAGGCTCTGGTCTCTGGAGCTCACCCGTTCGGCGCTCAGCAAGCTCCGCAGGAAGTGTACCCGAGCTGGTGCCTTCTCGCCGTAACCGAAAAGAACTCGGTGTTAGTCTGATTGGAGATCAACTCTCTGATCAGATTGCATCCCTGCGTGAAGACAACGAGGACGATGATATCACCCCGCCAGGACATGCCTTTGAAGGACGCACTTTTTTCGCTTCAGACGATGAAGCGCCACAGGACGAGAAACGATCCTCGAGCCGCATCGAGACAGACGTCAAGACGTCCCTGGACCTCGCCCGCCGTGGCTCGCAGCGTGCCAACCACTTAACTGCCGACGAAGAGCTGGAGGCATCACTCGACGTTGCTCGTCAGGACTCAAAACGCTCCATGCGCACATCGGCGCGCACACACAAATCAGTCCTCTCTGATGGCGCAGCCAAACTTCTCGCCACTGCCTCTAATGTCGAAGAAAAACCAACTAAACCACGAAGCCGTGCAGCGACTACATCCCAACCCCGCTCGCCTATGCTCAGGCTTTTCCCCCAACCACCACGACCAGTATAAAAATTTGCTCGAATGTATTTATTACATTGCATTTTGTCTACTCTACAGCCCAGGAGGCTCATGCGGTAGAACTAGCTGCATTTATACTAAGCAGCTACGACAACCCCCATACATTCTGTGTATATATTTACGACTTACGTTGTTTCCTTCTCTCACGATCTACTGGCACATTTATCATCGGAAGATCACAAGGGTTGGGCGTTTTTTTTCATCATCAGTCATCTCCTCCAGTACACTTGGACATTTCCTTTTTTGTCTTATTTCCATCGGCTCATTCTGAGTGCATTGTGTCGGCGCATCCCACTTCATTTCTTCGCGCTGTCCCATAGATCTGTTTTGTCAAAGCTCGGAACCTCAACCTCATCCCTCCCTTTCTTTTGTCTACGGCAAGATGTTTTGTTTATATTAGAGGCACCGGGAGATAATCATTATTCGTGTTCAGGACGAGGGTCGATGAATCGACCTTTCTCGTTCGAGGACAGATTGCGACGCTACGTCGCAAATTATATTGCATCACTTTAAACCAAAAATCAAACCATTACACTGATTAACCACCAGTAAACAAGCTTTGTTGATTGCCTCGAACATTTGAGATGGATCTCCAGATTGACTTGCATGTGCACCTCGCGACGTGAATTGCTGCTACTCAGCCTGTTACAAATATCCCTTCTTGTTTGCGCCACTGTTTCAACACCTACTTGGATATACGTGCCGTTTGATGACATCAGGCTGTCGCGTGAAACTCGTTACTAGCCGGTGAGAACTCTATCTTAGATCGCCGTTTTCCTGAGTAAACAAGGGCAAAACAAGCAAAACAGACAGACTGCGCTACGTACTACTACTACCGGGCTTTAGACCAACGTCTCTTTACTACTTAGCAGAATAGTAAGTCGCGAGGCGGATTCACACACTACGTATCCACCCTTTTCCCTCCCTCCCCCCAAATGACACACAAACAAAGGCAACTTGTTTACATCGGACATACCATAGTACTAGATTTACCGTCCGCGCACGTCCTGACTATGTACAATAACAGCCCCCCAACTGCCGCCGTCTAAAATCCAGTCTGCGCAACACAAACTTTTTAAAACTACGCATCCTGACAGCTATTTTTGGCGCCTGCCTTTTGTTTCATAGTAAGGATAGGCAGGCAGCGTTGGAGGGGAAACAGATAGTACGTAGTTATGATATGATATGATATCACGCACGAATCGAAAATCAATAGGAATGAATAGATTGAAGGGCATTTTGTAAACTAGGTGCGAGATCAGGGATAACCCTGTGGTGGAAATACCAAGGTGCCACCAGAGCTAACTACTAAGTACGTGGGAACATCTGGGTGAACTGCTCGTTTGTTTATGGCTTTCCCCCCTTCTTCCCTTGGACTGGGAGTTTTGACAGCGGACTAATTCTGCGGAACAAGGGGGGCGAGGGGGTGATGCATGAACCCTACCTCGATTTTCTATGTTTTGTTCGGCTGGGTAAGGGGGGGAAAGAGGGATGGCTGGTCGAAATTTTTCTTGTTAATGCGCAGATAAAGGTAAAAATGGTTGAGGGGTGTTCCCTGGATGTTGGGTGCCAAGGGGTAACTTAAGAACCGAGTAAGTACTTTAGTGTAGCAGGCATGCATGGTCCGTGATTCGTCGGGCTTTTTGCGATGGTAAGTTGGGTGGTTATTGAAGTTTTCTAGGGCAGAGGGGTGCGAGGGGTGGTGTGGGTGGAGGGTGGATTGGGGAGTTAGGAATAGGAATGTGGTGGGATTGGGCTGGGAGGGGGAAGGGGGATGTGGGGCTAGCGCAAAGGTGGTGGTGAGGATAATGTTGAGGTGATATGGAAGTGGAGGTTGGAACAGAAGGGAGAGAGAAGGTGGTACGAATGGAGAAGAGGCCTCAATAGGATGTTTTCCCACAGCCGGTACGGTGCTGAGTAGCTGGGCGCACGGGTGGTGCCGGCGTATTTTTGCGTAGGTGAGTAAAGGCGACGATTGTCATGTTAACTAGCTTTGTAGTCTTATTCGCCTTGAGCTTCTTTAATCGCCGTGTCATTGTGTTGTATCCACCTGCGGTGCTACTCTAACGTAATGCTCATGCGCAAAGTGGGGATGTCGGCAATGACTACATCGGAGGTACTATTTAGGAAAGAAATTGATCGAGTAAAAAAAGAAGCGCAGAGATCCGAGCCGGGCGACAACCCGAAGCGAGAGGATCGTCCCGGTAAACAAAAAAGTAGGGCAGAGGAGTCAGGGCTATGAGATCCCAGTACGCTCACGTGTCATGCCGTCGTTGGGGAAAAGTGTCCCTTATAGCACGCGTGCTATAGGCGAGGGGTCCGGCGGGAATTGTATATTGTCAGGTGCTAAGTGCTTGCTTGCTGACGTGTGGGTCGATCAATACTTTCCTCTTTTTTATCCGGATCCTGCTGTCCGGGATCGACTGGCTGGTAGAAAATGTGGGTAGATGAGGGATGGGTCCTTGGCTGTGAAGCGAGTATGATCCTGGGATTTGGGCGCATCGGCGAGCCCGCGCGCGCGTGTGCGCTTGGATCTGTGGCGGTGTGCGTATGTGGGAATACGGATGTGAAGGAATATGATCGGTGTGTAGAAGTGTGATGGATTCGTATACGGGAAAATGCCGGGATTCCGTTGTAAAAGAGGGGGGAGCAGTAGGCTGAATGGCCGAAACAAGCAGAAGATGAAATGAAGCTTTGTGTTTGTACTCTTCAAGTTTGGCTATTCAGGCTGTTTTTCGAGACGCCGCTTTGCTTCATCAACGAGGTTTTGGCGTTCTATAGTGGGTGCGTAGTCGAAATTCTTGTCTGGAAGTGAGAGTATCTTGACTCGCGCGTGGCCAGGCATTGTATCATCTTCTTCCAAGAATACTACAACGGCAGCACTCTTTTCCGCAACATCCATTTGCTTCCGTGGCTTCTTGTCAGCTTTTGGGTCAAAGTCAACGCTGATGCCTGAAGAACGAAGATCCCGCGCAATAGCCATGCGTTGTGCGACCAGTCCAGCGCTGTCAGATGCAATGACGATCCAGACATCAACTTTGCCTTTTTGAGCCCTCCCAGCATTCTGCTTTAGGCCTTTGAGTATAGCAAGGATCCGATCAATGCCAAACGATATTCCCACGCATGGGACGTCACGGCTGCTGAACATACCTGCAAGATTGTCATACCGGCCCCCGGCAGCAATGCTGCCAACCGAAGTGTCTGACTGATTTTGCACGACAATCTCGTATATCAGGCCAGTGTAATAATCCAATCCTCGAGCAAGCGATAGGTCGAATTGAATGTATTTGGTAACGTTGTATGCTATGAGGTATTGGATGAGCAACTCCATCTCTTTCACACCTTGTTGTACGTCCTTGTTTGTCGACAAGAGCGCATCTGATTTGAGGAACGCCAAAGTTGAGGTGACATCTGATGCTGTATCGCGCAGCACGTATTCAGCTAATTTATCAGCGAGACCAGCATCCAGTCCTTTCTCTTCCATCTCTTTCTTGACTTCTCCCCAAGGTAACTTATCGAGCTTGTCGACTGCCGAGCTGATAGGCCGCACCAAAGCTTCAGGGACACCCACAGCTGTGAACATGCCATTCAAAATGAGGCGGTGGTTGAGCCTGATCACAATAGGCAGCCCAAGGGCCTCGAAGACCTCAGCTGCAATACAAATGACCTCTGAGTCTGGTACCATCAAGTCGCATTGGCCGGCGTAGTCAAAGTCGCATTGGAAGAACTCGCGCATACGGCCCTGCTTCAATGCTGGCTGGTCCCTACGATAGACCTTGCCGATTTGGAATCGCTTGATGGTTCGGATGTTGTTCATACCAAGCCAGCGAGCGAACGGCACAGTCAAGTCGTAGCGCAGGGCACAGATCTCACCACCTTGATCTTGCAAGTCATAGATCAATTTGGTATCCTCTCCATATTTTCCAGTCAAGTAAGTCTTCAGTTCAAATGCTGGTGTATCTATCTCTTCGCCGCCGTGAAGCCGGAACACCTTGCGAATCTGGTCAAAGGTGTGGTTGCGCAGAGCGATGTCTTCTCCATGCCAGTCTCGAGTGCCTTTGGGCGTTTTGAGCTGAGGTGCCATATTTGAGGTTCTTTTATACTGGAGTACTTCTGGAAGAGATTCTGAATATTAAGCGCACTACAGAGTGTATGGTGTTAAGGTGATGTGACAGAATGTATGCGTAGATGTGATGAGTCAGAATTTCAGGTTCTGAAGGCAACCTTGGCATCGTTGCCAGCCGCGAAGTGAAGACATTACAACTCAATCCATGGGTCAATGCAGAAGCAGCTTTCGGCCTTGCCCATTGTTTCTATTTGTTTTGTCTCTTGCTAAATGGACATTTGATATTAGGTTCCGCAACCGTTGTTCTGATAAACGCCTAGCCACTCGTATGCTCAGTATATAGGGAAGCGCATTCACATATCCGTACGAAGTGTATTTTTGAAGGTCGACCAATTTCTAGGACGGTAGAGGGGAAATGTAATAATATAGGGTCGTCTCGAGTGTGATCAACACACAAACCCACTGTCAGCGAATACACAAACGTGGTTGGACGATCTGCCATGCCTAACCAGCGCCGGACGAGCCGAGTGCTTATCTCCGTTGGCGGACGACGTCATCCGTATCATTTGCCACCTCCACTGCCAACCACCTCATGCCATTCCTTTCAAAAGGCCAGGCATTAGCTCTACCCATCCCAAGATCTAGAGCAGAAATCGACACCAAAAACCCATCAACTATGGTCTTCCGGATAGGCCGCCTCGGGCCGCGAAAACTGCTCGTGCTCACATCCGCGGGCTTCCTGTTTGTTACATTCATCTTCCTCCTAACACCTATTATATCACCGCTCCCACCATATACTGGTCCCTACGAGGTGGGAATATTGGATATCGAGACCCCAGTTGAGAAAAGAGTCATTCATGATGCGATCCTCAAGGCTACGGGCGACAAGGCCTTTGAACTGGATACGCTAGCCATCACCTTATACTACCCTTCTTCATTGCCTCGAGCGCCACCTTCTCAGCGACCCTGGGCTCGGCCTTGGCTTCCGCAGCCTGTAGGACTTATTGGCGAGGGCTACGCGCGGCTTGCGGGGGTTCCCAGGCTTTCTTCAGTTTTCACATCTGCACTATGGCTGTTTGGATCTAGTACGGTCATCCCGGGTGTAGTTGATGCACCCATCTTGTCAAGTGCCCAGTATGTTCTGGGAACGAAGAGCAATAGTGCTGCTGAATTTGAAAAGATGATGAGTGCTGCTGAGCAAGAGCATCAGGAGTTGAAGCGTGACGGTAAGCTTGATGCTTTGCCTTGTATGGTATTCACGCACGGCATGGCCGGTATGAGCCAGAGTTATGCGCACTACCTTGGCAGTATCGCAAGTCACGGATACGTTGTTGCTGCTGTTGAACACCGCGATGGCAGCGGTCCCGGCACAATCATCCATCATCCCGATGGAAAAGAAGAAAAAGTATGGCACATGAAACTCGAGGACCTAGAAGCCAACCCACCCATGACTGAGCTTGATCTCAAAGCCGCCCAACTCAACTACCGCGAGGCAGAAATCAGCGAGACAATCAAGCTCTTCGCAAAACTCAACGCAGGCGAAGCCCCAGTCGTAAACCTCAAACCCGACTCCCCCCGTAACGCCCTCCCAGGCTTCAAAAACCGACTAAACCTCTCCGCCGTCACAGTCGGCGGTCACTCGTACGGCGCAACAGGCGCCATGCAAGCCCTCAAATCCGCAGGCACAAAAGCCATGCCCATCAACGGCGGCATCGCCCTCGACCCAGGCAAAGGCTCCGGCCCCCTCAACAAAGACATCGACGTGCCCCTCCTCGTCATGCAAAGCGGCGAGTGGACCGAACAGCAAACTCACTTTTACGATCAAGGCTGGCACTTTAACGTAGTCAAGAATATTGTCGATAGCGTCAAGCAAGGTTGGTTCATGACGTTAAGCGGCACTGCACATCCCTCTTGCACCGATGCCCCGCTCATTGTGCCGCTGATTATGAAGCTGGTATCTGGGACTACGCTTGATAGTAGGACGGCGCTGCACGAGTATATCGATGCTTCTGTGGCTTTTCTCGAGTACTTGCGTACGGGTAAGAAGGCGGGAGTGCTGGAGAGTGCGGTGACGAATGCGAAGGGCCCGTTTTTGGAGGATGCGACGAGGGAGACGGTTAAGGGGCCGCATGGGGCAAAGTGGGAAGTGCATGTTGTGCCTGACGAGGAGTAGAATATTTGTTTGGTTAGTTGAGGACGTGGTGTACGAGTGTAGATGTAATAATATTTCCTTTGAATCTAGCGGTTTATTTGCTAATGGCATCCCCATCACTCAAACACATTTCTTCTCAATGTCTTAATGAACATGCTTATATATGAATACAAATCAATTGACTAAGTAAGGAACCGTCTTTTACAAAGACTACATATGATTCGTAAATGGCATTAGGATGCAGGGCTAAACCGAGACAAACAGGTATGGAGAAGAGGGTCGAGGGTATAATACTGCAAATGCACAAGAGAGGGCTCGAATATGCAGATCAAAGGGGGGGGGGCAAAAGCCAACATGTCAGATGCAAGTAAGAACTGGCGACCAAGTCTTGACCAGTTTTAGAAGATGCGAAAGGGCAAAGGAAAAAAATGAAGAAGGAAAAAAGAGTAAGGTCACCGACCCCAAAACCCACTGAAGCGGTTATTAGCACCCCTTCCGCCTACTACACTGCCGCCACCGCCCCCTCTCGGTCTAGGCTGCGGCTTCTTCCGCTTTTCCAATCTCTTACAACTAACATCTGCCTTGACCATCATAAAACTCTGATCGAAAACATGACCGTTAGCATTCCCGCATCTCTCAAGCGCAGGCGCAAGAGCCAGCTCTACTCTTCGGCCTCGGGGATTATCACTGCTGCCGTAGCCGCCGCCCATGTCGTCCGAGTCATCGTCGTAGACGTCTTCCATTTCGCTGTCGTAGTAGCCGTAGCCCCAGTACTGGTCTTTCTTGCCGCCGGTAAAAGTGACGAAGCGGTAGTCGGCGCGCTGACGCTTCATTTTGAGATCGAGGGCTACGGAGGCCGAGACAATTGTTCCTAGTTGCTCCTTGCCTGCGCTCAGGGAGCGGGTAGCCCACGGGCGTAGCTTGTGGCGCATGCGACTGCAGAAGCGGGATATTTGTTTTAGCACGGGTGTTGCGTCAAAGGTAGGGCGCCATTTGCCGTCGACTTGTGGGACAAGAAGGTTCACGGTCAGCGAGCGCCATCGGTGGTACTCTTCGGCTTCGGCTTCGTTCTTGACGGCTGTGCATCTGTTAGTGTCGCATGTCGAATGAGCAAGATAAGAGACCATACCCTTTCGTAGCGTATCATTAATATCTCGTAATTTCTTGTCGCCCAATTTTCCTGCCCAGACGTATCCACTCCCTTTTTGCCAATTGTTGAAAATCTTTTGTTGTAATCGCATCCATACATATGCTTGTATAAGAAGAGGCCGATCTTCAGGGTCCTTGAGGTAGACATGGTAATTGTCGGTAAGGTTCCCAAAGAGCTCTCTCGCTCTGGTAAGATAGGGTCGCTTGTTCGAGGTCCTGATGGGGCCGCTAAAGTACTCTTCACTCCAGTTGCGTATCTCGTGGCGTAGAGCAAAGAGCTCCTCTATCAGTGTATCCTCTTCTGTCCTGTACAGCTTGGAGCCTCTGGTCGAGGTGCCATTGGCACCCATGCTCTTCCGCTGCAGCTCCTTCCTCAGCGCATCACGCTCTTTTGTAAGCTGGTAGAAGCGCTGGACAAGCTCATCTTGGCTGTTCCCTCGCGATGCGCTCTGGCGTGACGGGCTCTTGAGCGGCACATTCGGGCTGACTTTTCCGCCAGATCGCTGGGGGCGGGGCGATGGCGTGCTTGAATCTTCTGAAGATGATTCTGCTGAGGTGGCTGTGATCTTTTCAAACATCAATGGTGGTATGTACTGCGTCTTTCGTCTTTGCCTGGGGATTAGGACTTCCTCGTCAGACCACTCGTCGCCTACTTCTGGGAAGGGATAGCCCTGCTGTTCGGTGGGAGGCATGTCGGAGGAAGATTTGGATTGGGAGGATGGAGGGTGAATGACCTCGGCGGAGGGGCAGGTCAGTTTGAGCGACTTGAGAGTAGAATCGCGTACGTCTATAGATGCGACCAGGTTAGCAGGTTATGCTATGTGTGTATAGTCCAACAGCTCTAATGCGCACCGCACCACACGCACCAGGAGAAAGAGTGGCCATGTCAACGAAGGGCGAGCATCTTGTTTGGAGGAGTAGTAGTAGTAGTAGTAGTAGCAATAGCAATAGTGTCGCGGGCGGTGAAGCTGTGAGGGCGATGTCAGTGTGCAGTTGCCGTCGGGGTCAGCTGCGAGGATTTGCAGCGGGGCCGGTGAATTGAACGAAGCAGAAGCATGCAAGATGCAAGATGCATTGTTGGGCACGCCCTCGGGCAGGACGATAGAGGCCGTATGGCCAAGGCAAGCTTTTGCAGCTGGCCGGTCCCAGCCTCTCTGCTGGACAGGAGCCCTGGCGGTTCGGCGCCAACCACTCAGCTTCCAATGCGACGGGACAAGCTGTGTGCATTCACACCAGTGACGTGTGACGGCCTGGGGGACACATGCAGGCGGCGGGGACGGGAGAGACAATCGGGAAAGGTCGCGAAGAGGCTGGGGCGTCATTCGCTTCCTTAGCCGGTTCTTTCTTCACCTCTCCCCCCCGTACCCATGCAGTCGACCCAGCCCACGTGCTCCCGCAAAGTACCCACGTCTTATCACTACCCACGCCAGCTGCCATTCACAGCTACATGTCACTCGCCTCGGCCAGGTTGTGCAGTGACATTGCGTCCGCATTGCTTGCAAAACTACCACCCCCGGCCAAGCTCAACCATTAGTCCCAAGCGTCAGCCACCACTAGGCTCGCCCCGCGCAGCCTTCACACTCTAGCTGGCCCACGCTAGGTTCGTGCCAACGTCATGGCTTGAGACGATAGCCGCCTTCTTTGTCCTCTTCTCTGCCAGCTGTTTCAAAGTCAAGTGGCGCTATATCCTTAGCTCCAGCAGCTGGGAATGGCCAGGAACATGGACCAAAACCCATTGGATATCCTCCACCAACCACGCTAAGACCAACACTGACACGCCATCCGAAAACGGTTGGAAAAGCAACCCCACTTATTGATTTTGATATCTGCAGGCCACCAGGGGATACGTTCAAGAAGGAAAAAACAACAAGACCCCCCGGCACGGCAGTGTTCCGGCATTCGTTGTCGAGGGGTTCCATGGTAGCATGCTGCTGTGATGACATCCCGTTGCTCTGATCTTCAGATACGAAAGAATCTAGACTGCCTCCAAGGATATGAGGGTCATCCGTACCATGTTTACGTGTTTATCCCTTGCACTGTACCGCAAAAAGAAACTAGATTGCAAACAGGCATCGGTATATTCAGAAATTAGTCTACTAAACTCAAATGCTAACACAAACATCAAAGACACTTAACGCCATTGTCCAAAACCGGTAATGATGCAACACTCCACCACCCTAGATCATGTTTCCAATCATCTCTCACACATTCATACTACTTTTCGTTAGCCAACCATTCCTCGGAAAAAGCGCGGACATACTCACTTTATACAGATTGTCTTGGCCTCCAGATAACTCATCACACCCACCTTTCCACCCTCTCTCCCAAGCCCACTCTGCTTAGAGCCACCCATGGGTGCCTCAAGACCCGCCGTCTGCGACGTGTTGATATTCACCATGCCTGATCGAATCTTCTTGGCTATCCGCAGTGCCCGCGGGACAGAAGCCGTGAACACGCAAGCAGACAGGCCATAGTTTGTATCGTTTGCCATGCGAATCGCCTCTTCCTCCGTCTTGAACGTGCGGATAGTGATGACTGGCCCAAAAATCTCTTCGCGATAGATGCGAGCATCGTCGCCTGGGTTGACGAAAATGGTCGGCTCAACGTAAAACCCGTTGGTGCCTTTTCGTACTCCACCAGTGACTAGTGACGCTTCTTTCTTGCCAATCTCGATAAACTCCATCACACGTTCGAATTGCTTGCTATCAGCCAGTGGACCGTACATGATGCCTTGCTGCTCGGGGTGTCCCATAATGTTGCTGAGTTGCTCGAAACGTATCTTGAGTTGTGCAATGAAGTCGTCGATAATGTCTTCTTGCACAAAGGTACGACTGGCTGCGACGCAAGCCTGACCGCTGTTCATGAGGAAGTTTTGGCTGTGGTGTTGGAGGGCGTTTTCAATGTCTGCATCTGCAAAGATGAGCGATGGTGATTTTCCGCCGAGTTCGAGCGTGACACGCTTGAGGTTGCTGGATGAAACATTAGTATTGGACTTTTTGAACTTGATCAGATCAAGCAACTTACCTCTGGGCCGCGAGTTCCTGGACCTTCTTGCCTGCAAAAACGGAGCCGGTAAAACCGATCTTGTCAATGTCCATGTGGCCGGCCATAGCAGCACCTACTTTTCCATCTCCAGTAATGATGTTGATGACACCCGGTGGAAAACCAGCTTCCTTGACCAGCTCGCCTACTTGGATGAGTCCGATAGGACTCTTCTCGGACCCCTTGTAAACAATCGTGCACCCAGTAGCCACAGCAGGAGCAACTTTGAGCGCAAAAAACATCATAGCACCATTCCAGGCTCCAATACCGGCACAAACTCCAACAGGCTCATACTCGACAATCTATCTCTCCATTAGCATATTCTCTCTCTATCAACAAAAAAAAAGAGTCGCGGATTCAACAAACCTTGTAAATCCCATCCACCTCCGGCCACTGCTCCCCAGGCACCTTATCCGTCCAACCCGCCATATACCTAAAATAATCCGACCCAAGCTTGTACATCCACTGCGTAATCATGACCGGCTGGCCCATACACTTTGCCTCCCACGCACTGAGCTCCACGGCGTGCTTGTCGAGCAAGTCGGCAAAACGGTACATGACTTGCATGCGTTGCTTGGCTGTCCATGTGGACCATTCGCCTTGGAATGCGGCGCGGGCTGCTGCGACGGCTGTGTCTACGTCGGCGAGGGAGGCGGCTTGGATGCCGTCTAGAACGAGGGATTCATCGTGGGGGGAGTGGATTGAGAGGGTTTCGGTGGAGGTGGAGTTGATGTACTGGTGGGGTGTTAGTTGGGTGGATGGGGGGATATGTGTCTGGGGTTAATGTACTTCGTTGTTGATGAAGAGGCCTTTTTGAACCATTGTGATTG